ACTTGAAGCTATTCCTACTGGTGTTCCATTGTCTGGACCCTGTATCCTCCTGAGAGTTCTTCATCAGGAGTTCTTCATCATTACCCTGCAATTTCCACATATTTCCACATCATCCACATGCAACCATTCATTGTTTCAACTAAAATGTTTTGGGAACCTATTCTATCCTGGATCCAACAAAAACAACCAAACCAGATCATGCTCCCATGGAGTTCCAACCAAGGTACCCAAAATTCAAGATAAAATGGCGTATAATAAAATATTTGTAATCTTCAAATGTATTTCCTTTGACCAGGAGGATTCTCCATTATAATTAATGCTTAAAGGATGGGAATGATTTGTATAAGCTGGAATGAAATAGATTTTTTTTTAAGGCAGAGTAAGACAAAGTAAAAACTGTGAGGCAGGAAATGGGGCCTATTTTAAAACTGACAGAGAGGCTGGAGCAAGGGTGGACATACTGCCAATTTTTTTTCTTGGGTATATATTCAAAGTATATTCCAATACTGGAATAAAAGATTAGGATCATGCTAAAGAGTCAAAATCTTCACTGTTCTATGTAGTAGCCACTAATCATGTGTGACTATCGAGTACTTGAAATATGTCAAGCACAGTTTAATTGTTTTTTGTTTTTTTTGTGTGTGTTTTGGAACAGAGTCTTGTTCTGTCACCTTGGGTAGAGTGCAGTGATGTCATCATAGCTCACTGCAATCTCAAACTCCTGGGTTCAAGCGATCCTTTTGCCTCATCCTCCAAAGTAGCTGGGACTACAGGCATGTGCCACCATGCCTGGCTAATTTTTTCCATATATTTTTAGTTGTCTAGCTAATTTCTTTCTATTTTTAGTAGAGACGGGATCTCACTCTTGCTCAGGCTGGTCTTAAACTCCTGACCTTGAGCGATCCTCCCACCTAGGCCTCCCAGAGTTCTAGGATTACAGGCGTGAGGTACCACACCTGTCTGGAATAGGTTAATTTTTGAAGAAGAGATTAGAAGAGGGAAGACCCCTTAGCAAGTGATAAGAGACTGGGAGCTGGGATTAGGCCCTTCAGGATCAATACAAATGATGAATGATTTAAACCCAGTTTAGACAGGAAAATCAACATTTCTCAAATTTTTTCTTCTTTCACCCTGAGGACTTCTTTTCTGCAGTGCCTTCAGATTCAAAGTGATCTCTGCCTACACCTAACCTAATAAAGGAAGATTTCAAAATGATATGCTTTAACAAAAATTGTTCTGTATGAAAAATATTATAAATGCAAGCAAAGTCTTAGAGCAGTTGTTAGCTTTTCTATGTGCCTTGAATACCATTGACGTTGTTTTACGAAAGGGACAGTTTTCCTTGTCTTTACCTCCATGTGTCTAAAGCCCTGTATTGCCCAACTTTAAGATTTTTGTGTCTGTTTTCCACTTGGTTATCACACTAGCAAACATCCATCCTGCCAAGTTGCATGAAGCTAGGATTGAGATTTACATTCTGCAGGTACCTGCATCTGGAACTGATGGAGCTCAGACAAGTATTCCGTTCAGTCCCTTTCTCCTAAGCAGGCCTGCATTAAACTATTAAGTGTAAAATTTCATAACATTCCTCCCCCACGTCTTCTATTTTGAAATGTACCCATCACATTTCCTCCTCTTGTTTTTAGTAAAGATAGAGGAAGATCTCACAAGGAATCAAATGACATGTTTTAGGGCACCTGGCCTTGCTGGCCCCTGGCGTACTTACTCCACCATGACTGGTGACCAGAGCTGCCGCTGTGACTGGGACCGAGCGGGGCTTCTCCCAAAGTCCACCAAAGACCCCATCAACCAACCAGTCTCCCCAGACGCATCAACAAACCGTCATTTTGAGCAACAATTCTCTGTTGCCCCGGGTGAGGATTATCTGACGGGAACATTTCTGTTGCTGTGGGAACAAGGCCAGAACTAAACTGGTTTTTTTTCAGGAGCTCCTGAGGTTCCCCTGGCTAGAGGAGTATTTGTCTCAATATGTTCAACACACTTTTAGATTCTTGAGATTCAGTTGGATTCCAGTTGTAACCTTTAAAAAATATACATGGTTTGAAAGTAGAATTCTTTCCCTCACTACCAGCCAGTTTAAGCTTTTTTAAAGGTAATTTTCTCAGACTGAGTTTAGCCAAAGAAAGCAGGTCTCAGATCTTTCTCACACCCTCCCTTCTTTCTTACCAAGAAGAAAATATTCTACTTGTCATGGATTTCAAACATGTAACACTTGATCCTCGGTATTATCTTTCTCCATAGAAATTTTACACAAATTATTTGGAAACAGGTATAATCCTGGGCCTTCAAAATTACTTCATTTATTCATTCAATAAATATTAGGCAAATAATTACTGAGGCAAACCCTGGGTTCTGAGTTGCTTTGAAGCCTGTTTTGCGTGACTGTAAAGAGAGTAGCTCAGATTTACTTTTTACTTCCACTGGTGCCATTTGCTGTTGCAAAACATTTCTTAAAAAATTATTGACAGTGGGTCCCAGTGCAAAAAAAAAAAAAAATTATTGACAAAGAGTACAGACTTCACAGAAAGAAAAATATTCTAAGGCTGGAGAGAGGGAGAAAGAAAAGATAAAGTGATTTAGAACCAAGAATGACATTCTCAACACAGTATTCCTGTCGGCATAAAATATATGTATATATACATATATTTTAAAAAAGAAGGAAAAAGAATGACATTGTGAGGCAAGTAATAAATATTAAATAAAAGTCAAATATAGAGAAAAGCCTAGAGGAAGAAAGGACATCTTCTTCCATTAGCTTCATGCAGCTGTTGCACACTGACATGTGACTAATGCGACTGCGGTGGCTCACACCTGTGATCCTAGCACGCTGGGAGGCCGAGGCAGCAGGATCACTTGAGCTCAGGAGTTCAGAGACCAGCCTCAGCAACATCTCTACTAAAACTAGGAGAAATTAGCTGGGCGTGGTGGTGTGCGCCTGTATAGTCCCAGCTACTGGGGAGGCTGAGGCAGGAGGATCGCTTGAGCCCAGGAGTTTGAGGTTGCTGTGAGCTAGGCTGACGCCACGGCACTCTAGCCCGGATGACAGAGCAAGACTCTGTCTCAAAAAAGAAAAACAAAACAAAACAAATATACTGAACTTTAAAAAATTTTTTTAAATTAATTTAAGGTTAACAATTGATGCAGTTTAAAGTATTTTTCTGTTAAACACAACTTTGTTGTTTTGGTAGGACTACACATCACATTAACCTGTAAATGTAAAATATATGCTGTGTTTCAAAGACTTAATTACAAAAAAAGAAAGTAAACTATCTTATTAATAATTTTTATATTGATTCCATGTTGAAATGATATTTTGAATATATTGGGCTAAATAAAATAATTATTAAAATTAATTTCTCTTCTTTCTTTTAAAATTTTTTATGTGGCTACTAGAAAATGTGATGTGACATGCTCTCATTACCTTTCTATTGGACAGCACTGCCCTATGGGATATTCTTTTTCCTTTGGCTTGGCAACCAAATTCAGTTGCTGTGGTAACTAAAGGGGCCTCTGGATCTGCCTTTCCTGGAAGTAAAGGGTGAGATGGGGGAGGGGAAGTGTCATCAGATCAGATTTAGAAAATATCTTCATTTAAGGAAAGGAGACAATGTAAGTAATCTGGTTTGTTTCAGTAACATCAATTTGGATTCTAGGCCCTCAACCAAAACCCTAAAGGAAAATGCACTTCCTCCAGCTCACCGTGGAGAAAAGTTGTATCTATTTACCCATCTTCATTCACCCCACCCCACTCCAGTACTCGACATTAGACTGTAACAGTTGATATTTCCCCTCCAACAAAGCCTTGATATTATCTCCCAATTACCCAACATTTTAAACACAAACTACATTGTTTTGCTTTGTTTACTCTCTCAGTGGAGCCACTTTTCTCTCTCCCTCATTATCCTTTGTCTTTGTCAGTTCTCATTTTTCTTATTTTGTTTTCCTACCTACCTTGTTGAATGTTTTTGCATAATTTAGTAATCAGATATCTACCTCACATTTTTGTTTCAAGAAACTCATAGTCTGTAACTAATGGATATTAATAATCCTTCCCAGTGTGTGAGAATCAGTTGCCCTTTTTTATGTTTTAAATGTAAGAAGAGAAACACTATAAATTCCTCATGGCTCAAAATCTGTTACATAGCAGGTGCTCAGTAAATATCTGTTTAATTGAATTGGATATTTACTGTGTTCCTATAAGCCTGAGACTAGCGGCAGAGCGATGCAGAATTCAGAGTGGGTGGTATGGTGGATGCCATAAAGAATTTGGATTGTATCCCCTAGGCGGTGATCGGCTCCTTCCTGCTGCCCGGCTTAGTCTGGCTCCTAGAAAACCAGGTGTCCTTTCCCCCAGGTGAGATTATGCTAATGAGAGGACAAGTAAAGCCAAAAACTGGCCAAATTCTTCCCACGATTTTCTTATCGTCCTTCCTTCCCCTTCAAGATTGCAGACCCTGCCTACAATAAAAAAGCAGCTGATAAATTCGTAGGATTATGAATTCTTTCTGCTAACACTCCTTCGAACAACCTTAAATCGCTGATAGTAGCACCCACTCGAACTTTCCTTTTACAGATATATTTCTTCTCATTTCTCTGCAGATTTAATTAATCCCGAGCTGATGCGAGAGCAAAACATAGTGTATTTGCCCTCCCTCAAGGCTTTTCTGGTGGTGTTTTGTCTGTGAAACTAAGAGGCTGTAGCTGCTACACAGGAGGCAAGGCGTAAAAGATGAGCTTAAAAAAAAAAAGAGACGGGGGTGGAGTGACAGGATGTGGTTTTTAAAACGAGGGAGGGCGTTATTGCCTTAGGGTGATAACCAGGGGGGCTGGGGGGAGGGCACTTCTGAAATTCCGATAACGCGAAATTCCCAGTGGTCACGAGGATCGCCGGGGCGGGCGTGGGGTGGGGCTGGGGCTGGTCGCCCTTCCAGGCTCCGCCCTTTGCAGAGATTATAACTGGCGTGACCGCGGCCAGAGCCAGAGATGCTGCAATGGTGAGAGTGGGTTTCCGAGCGATCTGAGGACCTGAAGAAAACTTGCTACCGAGAAGGACGTTTTGAAGGTTTTGTTGGCTGGAAGAGGTATCTCTGGACTCCCACTCCAGATCTTTCTCGAAGATTTGAAAAGAATTAGATTAGGGGCATGGGGTCACACAAGGTAAGAATGTTATAATTTCTGATTATTTTTGCTTGTTCGGGGTACACTCAGAAAGGCAAATCTTGATGGTGATTGCCTTGTTCTGTTTTCTCCCGATTCGCCAAAGCCATCCCGAGGCCTTTTCGTCTCTTCTCCAGCCCGCAGTGCTCTAGTTTCACCGGCTCCCTTTAATGTCGTATTCGATGAAGGATTTATCCCTGTTCCGTTCACCTTCCTATCACAGGAGAGTCCGCTGGAGAAGTTGGGTTTACTTCTCAGGCTTATTTGCGTAACTATACACTACCGAGGCCCAGAGTGGGCTGAGTGTTCGGAGGATCGGGGGCTGCTTGATTGTGTGGGTTACAAGTGTGGGCTCCAGAGCCAGTGCGAAGACTTCTCTGGAAGCATTAGACCTTGAAAGGACCTGGGGTCTGTTTGGGGTGCAGGTCAGTGTCCTGCCATCTGCTCTGTATCCTGTAGGATTCCCTGGATACTAAGGAGAGAGAATTCCGGTTGTCCTTCCTGCTGTGGTTATGATTGTGAGTGCAGGATATAGTAATACATTTTTCTGTGTTGTGTATGCAGTATTTGTAGGGAGAAAGGCATTTTCACTGGGACAAATTTGTTTGAAAACGAAAATAAGAGAAAGGATGGGGAAAATAAGACTGAAGAGTAAAAGGTCCTCCAAGATAGTGAATGATGAGAGGAGAAAGGTTTTTTTGCTAAAAAGGAAAAGGATTTAACAGGAAGAGCTTTGTCCTGGCAGGATCTCTGGGGCACTGATGCTTAGTTGGGACTGAGACGCCTCAAGGCCGACCGGGAGGCTGCGGGCAAGGTCAGCTCCCCAACTGAAGCTCCACACCGCTATCCCAGCTGACCTGAAAGGAAAGGATTTGTGACAGGAAAGGCCGAAGGGAATGGCCGGCCGCAGTAGGGGATGGCCTCAGGCATAGAAATTGAGCTGCCCCGAGGTGAAAAGCCAAAATAATACCCACTTGTCCATTTGAATTATTCCTTGCAAGGTGAGATGACTTTTTGATTCCCCCCACTAAGAAATGTCTCCTATCTGTGGAGTTGGGATTATGCAGAGTGTCCCCCCACATACACACCCGGGTTGGGGGTAGCAGAACAGTATTTAGTAAACGGGAAGACTTTCAAATTTGATCAGGATGCAGTGGGTAGATAGGGTAGGTTACAGGGTCCCGAGAGATAAGAGACTCAGAGACGACACATGCCACTGCCACCACTCCAGCCTCAGTGCGTCTGGGGTACGGCCCCTCCCAGTTCTTGTGCGCCGTTCTGTGCTTATCTTTACCTGGTGCAGGTTTTAAATGCTTCCAAACTGACTAACCCAGTTTCTCTTAACTTCTTCCTTCCCTAATTTTCTTGCCATTTTCCCCAAGTTAACCCTACGTTCTTATCTCCAGATGAGTTCTTCAGTATAACCTATACCTTTATGTTCCCCATTTATTACCTAAATGTCATGAGATTTTTGTCTGTTTCATACCACTCATAGGTCAAGTTCTCCTAATACAGTTCCATAATTGATAAGAGACAATAATCAGTCAAAAGTTTTAAGGATTGTTTCTTCTTTCCTCCTTGTCCTGCCCTGCCCTCAGGTCACCCCATCTCTGATCTTCGCCATTGCCATTGCTACAATCGGCTCTTTCCAGTTTGGCTACAACACCGGAGTCATCAATGCTCCTGAGACGGTAAGTGCCAGGCAAGGAGAGTTAAAATTTGGCATAAGGATGTTACTCTTTTCATTTAAGTAGGATTTAAAGAATTCAGAATTTAAGACAAACTTTGTATCTAGGTTGGCTAAAATGGAAGTGGGAGAATATATTGGTGGGGAAGTCTAGTGGAGTCATTTAATCCAAGCAGAAGGCTCATTTGCTGCCGAACTCGGCCCACACCAGTTCTTACTCTCCTCCTCTCCCCGCATGGTGATACACTCACTGCCTATATTATCCCTTAGGGATAGTTAGTTGCAAAAGGGGATGCTCTTAGGAAAGGGCTGGGGCAGATGATGAACATCAGTGCTGCCACCTACTGGGACTTTCAGGACTAATAAAAAAACGAGTCTTGTAAGACAGTAACATTAACTCCAGAATATCATCTGTCTTTTCCATCCCCATCTAGTCATGCCTTTGATCCTCTACCTGTAAAGTAAAGATAAAGTTGTTCTCTCAGGGAGGAAATGATCCCTAATGTTTGTATCTTTTGTTCTCATCCAACTGTTAACAGTCTGTCCTCCACCCATTTTATATTGCAGATCATAAAGGACTTTCTCAATTACACTTTGGAAGAGCAGCGAGAAAACCATCCCTCAAATGTGTTGCTCACATCCCTCTGGTCCTTGTCTGTAGCCATCTTCTCCGTTGGTGGTATGATTGGCTCCTTTTCCGTTGGACTCTTTGTCAACCGCTATGGCAGGTATTGACCAGAAACTGGGCAAGGAAATGGGCTATACTGGTTGCATTGAGGACAGATATAGAGAATTAGGGCAGGGAGGTGATGGTACATTCGAATGAGAACACTTCAAATTCTAATCAAAGGAAACCTAGTGCAACTGGCCCTGAGTATGACTGCTCTTACTTGGAGCTCTGCTACCCTGCATAGCTTCCACCAGCCTTGCAAGAGATGGGCCATGTGAATTTTTGGTCTTTGAAGTTCAGCTTAGGCTAGTTCAGAGTTATTTTCTAGTAAGCTCAACTGTGGAGTTTCCCAGAAACATGTTTAATTTACAAGGTCTGAAGTTGTTTACTTTTCTGAAAAATTTTGGGGTTTCATACAAGTGTTATCATTATTTTACACAGGATTGGTAGGAAGTATTTTTGTAATTCTTGGTCTGTGGCAAATGTGGATAATGGCCAAATAACCAAATTGAATTCTTCTCCTCAAAAAAGAAAACCAAATCTTTTCATTCTACACTAGTTTAATAATATGTCTTAGAGAGTAGAATATACTTTCAGTAATGACTGGTGAAGAAACCATTTAGTTTGCCAGTTAAATGTTCTTGAAATGTAAATGGAATTCAAGTTTAAAAAAATTAATAAGGCAACCTATTTTATTTGATAATGTTTAATTACTATTATTTTTTAAAGAGGCAGGGGTCTTGTTATATTGCCCAGGCCAGACTCAAGCTCCTGGACTCAAGTGATCCTCCCAACTAGAAATATTCTGATAATAGAAAGTGAAAAACAGAAAAGTTAGACCAAAAGACAAGGAGATAGGAGCCTGGAGAAGAGCAGAATAATGAGGAAAGAAAGGGAGAGATTCAGAGCTTTTCATGTTACTAACCTCACTTTGTCTTTGATTAATGTTACAGGCGCAATTCAATGCTTATTGTGAACCTCTTGGCCATCGCTGGTGGCTGCCTCATGGGGTTCTGTAAATTAGCTGAGTCATTTGAAATGCTGATCCTGGGCCGCTTGGTTATTGGCATCTTCTGTGGACTCTGCACTGGTTTTGTGCCCATGTACATTGGCGAGGTCTCTCCTACTGCCCTACGGGGTGCCTTTGGCACTCTAAACCAGCTGGGCATTGTCATCGGGATCCTGGTAGCCCAGGTACTCTAGAACTTCTCATGCCTAATGAGTGTTGTTACAGTTTCATGGCTCATTAAGAGTTAACATAGGTAAAGCATGTATTCAGTTGCATGTGTAAGTTTCAGATATTATTGTTACTGTAGCTCAAAGATAGTACTAAAAAAGCAGGCAGGTAGAGAAAGGGAAAGAAGCACAATTTATCTTTTTCTGTGGTAAAAAAAAGAGATTTCTGAACTTTTTTTTTAAATGAATTTGGCCTGTGGAGTATGGGTTTTAATAGCATTCTCTTTGGGTTTCTAGATCTTTGGTCTGGAAGTCATCTTGGGGTCTGAAGAGCTATGGCCCGTGCTGTTAGGCTTCACCATCATTCCAGCTATCCTACAAAGTGCAGCCCTTCCATTTTGCCCTGAAAGTCCTAGATTCCTACTCATTAACAGAAAGGAAGAGGAGAGTGCTAAGGAGAGTGAGTATCCTTCACACTTCACTAGAGCAATTGTAGGGTTGTGGTTTGTTTTAAGGATGAGGGTATTGGATCTATTTTTTGTCCTTCCCTTTCCCTGCCCCTCAGAACCCAAGTGGAGAGTCTTCTGATGACTCTTGAGTCAAACTTTCAACCCCTGCAACCCCTAAAAAACGAGGTGAGAAGACAAGCTTAGATGTGGATTTCACTGATCACTTCATCCCGTGTGGCTTCTTCCCGGCTGTCTTATAGGAAAAATGAATTTGGGGCAGCACATTGTCTTTATCCTTTCCTCTGTTCTTTCCACCAGTCCTGCAGCGGTTGTGGGGCACCCAGGATGTGTCCCAGGACATCCAGGAGATGAAAGATGAGAGTACCAGGATGGCACAAGAAAAGCGAGTCACTGTGCTAGAGCTCTTTAGAGCTCCCAGCTACCGACAGCCCATTATCATTTCCGTCGTGCTCCAGCTCTCTCAGCAGCTCTCTGGAATCAATGCTGTGAGTACCTACTTTTGGGTCAAAGGCCTCCTACAGTATTTCACTTAAAGCATTCACCAGGGGGGGTGGCATTAGTCATGGCTCACCCTCTTATAGAGAGGCTGCCACAGAGCAGCCACTCAGACAATGTAGATTATCCAGGTTTTGATTGGGTTTTGTTTTTTATTTCTTAAAATTATATCGTAGTATATATTTTACATGTGTAAAATGAGAAAGTACATAAAATGAAAAATTTAAGTCACGCTTAGTCTTGGAACTTACGGTTAACATCATTTGTCCTCTTTATTATTTCTTTTTTTTTTTTTTACCCCTCCTTTTTTTTCCGCTTTTTTTTTTTGAGACACAGTCTCACTATGTTGCCTGGGCTAGAGTGCCGTGGTGTCAGCCTAGCTCACAGCAACCTCAAACTCCTGGGCTCAAGCCGTCCTCCTGCCTCAGCCTCCCGAGTAGCTGGGACTACAGACATGCGCCCCATGCCCGGCTAGTTTTTTCTATATATTTTTAGTTGTCCAATTAATTTCTTTCTATTTTTAGTAGAGATGGGGTCTTGCTCTTGCTCAGGCTGGTTTCGAACTCCTGAGCTCAAACAATCCGCCGGCCCCGGCCTCCCAGAGAGCTAGGATTACAGGCGTGAGCCACTGCGCCCGGCCTCCAGTCTTCTTTAACTCTGATCTTACCTTACATGCTGTCATCAATGGTAATGTAGGCCATACAACCTAAGTATTCCTAGATTTTACATGCCTTGACTTTTTACCAGGACTTTACAGTCTAAAATCAGTGTAAGACCCTGGGGTACAAATAGGAAATCTCTGGAGGCACACTGGCAACTTGAAGAGCACCCTTGTCCCACTCTAAATGCTGCTGCATCCCCCTGAGGGTTTTCCACTAGTCTTCGATCAATGTGATTAAATCATTTTGTGACAAAGGATTTTGCGAAACACGCTTGATGCTCAAAATAATAAGTTTGGTTCTGGGCCTTTTCTCCTGCCTGACACACCAGAATATTTGTATTTAAGTAGCAGTGCCTCTCAGGAGGGGTTAGAGGCTGCTTGGGTGCAGCGGCACACCCCTGTAGTCCCAGCTACTCAGGGGGCTGAGGTGGGAGTATCGCTTGAGGCCAGGAGTTCAAGTGTGGCCTGGGCAATGTAGTGAGACCCTGTCTCTTAAAAAAAAAAAGAAGAACCTAAGTAGAAAGATACAGTAGTTGAGAAAGCCACCTAGGTGATTTTGATGGATCCCAGTCTCAAATTTCCTCATTTGAAAATGATAGTGTAGGCAATATTTTACATTACTGGAATAAAATATACTCCCAAGACTTGCCAGAGGAGCAGGGCTGGGACTGTAGTGAGGCAGGTGAGGCACCCAGCGGCAAGTGCAGCTCTGAGAAGGAGCCCTGAGAACACACCTGAGGCACCTCCCTGGCTGCTTCACCCCAACCCTGGCCCTGCAAAACAGGATCAGGAAAAGATCATGGAAAAGCACCAATGACAGATGATCACTCTGCAGGACAGACTCTTCCCACTTCAGGAAATGGTGTGTAAAGTCATTGTTGACTAAGATGGCTCCCAACTTAGTCAATGAGCAGATTTGGCCCTGGGCATAACCTAACCCAGAGCTGGCTACACCACAGTTATGGGGGGCCGGATTCCTGAATCAGCTGAATCAAGAATCTCTCCTATGAGGAGCCTAGAAATTGTGTGTAAAAAAATAAATGTGACGCACAGCAGGCTTGGAAATCACTTTTCCAACCTACTTTTGGACAGTGTTTTCTAATTTCCCTTAAAGGCAGATGGATAAGCAGTTGGATAGTGTTTAGCTAGCAGAGTAAATTGCTTTTAGGTGAGATGATGTAGGGGTTAGCTTGCCTAGCTTGATGGCACTAGATAGAAAGGTAATTTTACTGTAAGAAGTTTGCCTGAGAAGTGAACGTACACATTATGTTTTTGATGTGTAGACATTTTGATACGGAAGAGAATTGGCATAACTGTCCATGGCTGATTTTAACTCTTCAAATGTCTTTCCCCACAAGCTTGATGTCATCATAAAATATTGGGATTTTCTTTTTAGCAGTCTTAATTCGCTCCAGAACATCAGTTTTTGCGAATTGAGGATGACACTACAGATCAGTTTCAAAAGCACAACTGTAATCTTATTTTAGAAAATATCAATATACAGAGTGTCCATCTCAGGCATTAGGGATTTGAAGAGTTGTTTCTTGAGAAGGTAAATCCCAATGTAGAGGTATATATTCATCAAAAAGACTGAATAATGTTGCTGTGGAGGCAGATACTGTGGGTGAAATAAACCAAACCTGGCTGATCTAGATAATGTTCTCTTGTTACCTTGAGGTCTTAGTATGGTTTTGTTTTTTATGAGACAGTCTCCAGGCTAGAGTGCAGTGGCACAATAATAGCTCACTGCAGCCTCAAACTCATGGGCTCCAGCGATCCTCCCACCTCAGCCTCCCAAGTAGCTGGGACTACAGGCGTGTATCACCATACCTGGCTAATTTTTTACTTTTTGTAGAGACAGAGTCTCTATGTTGCCCAGGCTGGTCTCAAACTCCTGGCCTCAAGCCATCTCCTGACAAAGTGCTGGGAGTACAGGCATGAGCCACCACACCCAACATTTTGATATCTCTTTAACAGATGGACACTACAAAAAAAAACTTTTTTCCTTGGGGCCACGGTGTTTTATTACAAAAATAGTATAAAAACTTTGAAAGCAAAACAATCCTTTCTAATTTAATGAAAAAATTTTTATTGTTTTCTGTGTGTGAGTTGTATGCAATTTAAAGATCTCATGGCTCCCAAGGTGAAGAGATGTGTGAGTTATATATGCTTCATGAGGCCCCGTGCTCAAAACTAGCATGAGTTAATACAACTCACATGGCAGATAATGTGTTAATTATGGTAGTTATAGCAACCCTACATTTTAGCATAGTGTCTAGTAAATAATGAAAATAGTATATATTAAATAGTAATTTATTTAATAGTAATATGTTAAATAAAAATAGTCATTATTATTCCCTTGGAAAGGGCCTAGAGCTAGGAAATGCAGCCCAAGCTCTGCTTAGTAAATAAGCAGGCTAAGGTTATTGAGTTTGTTCACTGTCAGGTTGAGACATCATTGTGCCTATCAGTGCTTTGAGAGTTTGGGGAAGAGTCCATTGAAAAAGCACTTAGAAAAAGCACTGGAACCTTTATATATATTAGTGAAGTGAACGTAAGTAAGACTAAATAGAGCAGTGGGAATAAGCATAGTTAAAGGAAAAAAGTGGAAGTGAGAAGCTAGAATTGAGAAGAATTAAGAGGAGAATGGAGACAGGTACAGAAGGTAATTCATTTGCAGAAAGGATATTGTGATAAAACAAAAACCCTGGAAAAAGGACAACTTACCTGCTGGGACTTCTAAGTTTATTTTTTGCAGTTCAGTGTAACTGGTATGCACAGTTGTGTCAAAGTTGTGTCTTGTTTTCTGTCAGGTGTTCTATTACTCAACGGGAATCTTCAAGGATGCAGGTGTTGAGGAGCCGATCTATGCCACCATCGGTGCTGGTGTGGTTAATACTATCTTCACTGTAGTTTCTGTAAGTTGAGTGGTTTGATGATTTGCGGGTGCGGTGGGCAGAAAAGAATTCTTGCTACAGATGTTCAAAGATGGATTGCATGTCCTTCAGCCTCCCTATCATCCATCATCTAGGAACGTTTTTTGTTATTTAATTCCTCTTTGGGAAAAAGAGATACTTTGAATGGAGGTGGGTGTAAGTCTTCACTCTTCAAGCAAATATGGAATGGATGGGAAGGGGGGAAGTATAGAAGAGATTATACAGGATGCTTTAAACTTCAAAATAGGCTGGGCGAGGTGGCTCATGCCTGTAATCCTAGCACTCTCCAGGGGCCAAGGCAGGAGGATTGCTTGAGCTCAGGAGTTCGAGACCAGCCTGAGACCAGCCTAAGCAAGAGCGAGAACCCCGTCTCTGCTAAAAATAGAAAAATTAGCTGGTTGTCGTGGCGCAGGCCTGTAGTCCCAGCTACATGGGAGGCTGAGGTAGGAGGTTTGCTTGAGCCCAGGAATTGGAGATTGCAATGAGCCATGATGATACCACTGCATTGTAGCCTAGGCAAGAGAATAGGACCCTGTCTCAAAAAAAAAAAAATTAAAAAAATAAACTTCAAATTGGTAAAGAAGGAGGTGTGTCTATAACAAGTACCCTGCTATGGGTGAGGCACATTTCAGGTACCCTATACCGTATTTTCATGGAAGGGAAAACAGAAGTTTCATGTTATATTATTATTCTTTTAGCTGTTTCTGGTGGAAAGGGCAGGAAGAAGGACTCTACATATGATAGGCCTTGGCGGGATGGCTTTCTGCTCCGTCCTCATGACTGTTTCTTTGTTACTAAAGGTGAGTGCTCTTTGAGTGAAGAAAAAGGAGGGAAGGAGGAAAAGAGAGAAGTTACAGTTGACTTTCTGTGACAGAGGGGGTGGGTTGTTGAGTTTGGAGATCATCAATACAGTCAAATTTGAGAGAACCAAGATGCCCAGAGCTTTTAAGAAAGGTTTATTGTCAGAGATAAACTATTATAAACTATTACCTTCATATAGCATTATAGCTTGTAAAATAAATTAGCTAATTCTTAAAATAATGTTAAGGCAATCCCATTTCATAGATGATGAAGTGGTCTCAGTGCAAAACGACGTATGTGAGATGACATAGCTGGGATTTAAAAGCCCAAGGTCTTTAATGCAAGGCCAGTAACTGCATGGTACCACAGGGCAGCAGATACTTGCCATTTCGTCAGCACTCTTCTCTGAGAAGTGGATCCTAGGTCATGCTGTCCTTAATACTAACTTTCCTCTATTCCTTCCCCTTACAGGATACGTATGGGTGGATGAGCTTCGTCTGTATTGGGGCTATCTTGGTCTTTGTGGCCTTCTTTGAAGTTGGCCCAGGCCCCATCCCCTGGTTTATTGTGGCCGAACTCTTCAGCCAGGGACCCCGCCCAGCTGCAATGGCAGTGGCTGGTTGTTCCAACTGGACCTCCAACTTTTTAGTTGGATTGCTCTTCCCCTCTGCTGCAGTAAGTAAACTCAGCTTATCTTAAAACCATCCCATTTAAGCTAACATGTTTAAAATACACCTTAATGGGAGGCTGAGGCAGAAGGATCGCTTGAGCCCAGGAGTCTGAGGTTGCTGTGAGCTAGGCTGACGCCACGGCACTCTAGCCCGGGCAACAGAGCAAGACTCTGTCTCAAAAAAAAAAAAATACACCTTCATAATACAGTAGTCCCTCCTCATCCACAGATGCAGTTACCTATGGTCCAAAACATTAAATGGAAAATTCCAGAATTAAACAATTCATAAGTTTTAAATTTTGCACTGTTCTCAGTAGCCTGATGAAATCTCCTCCATCCAGCCGGAGACTTGAATTATCCGTTTGTCCGGAGGATCCACACTGTGTCTGCACTCCCCGCCTGTTAGTCACTTCAGTAGCCGTCTCAGTTCTGAGACCATCTGTCACGCTTTTGCAGTGTTTGTGTTCAAGTCACCCTTATTTTACTTCATGATTGGCCCCAAAGTGCAAGAGTAGTGATGTTGGCAGTTCAGATATGCCAAAGAGAAGCCGTGAAGGGCTTCCTTTAGGTGAAAAGGTGAAAGTTCTCCACTTAATTTGAAAGAAAAAAAATCGTAGCTGAGGTCACTAAGATCTATGGTAAGAACTAATCATCTGTCCATAAAATTACAAAGAAGAAGAAAAAAATTTGCGCCAGTTTTGCTGTCACACCTCAAACTGCAAAAGTTACGGCCACGGTGTATGATAGGTGCTTAGTTAAGATGGAAAAGGCATTAAATGTGCATGGAAGACATGCACAGAAACATACTCCAATTGACAACGACAAGGTTTGGTGCTACCCACAGTTTCAGGCATCCACTGGGAGTTTTGGAACATATGCCCCGTGGATAAGGGAGATCTAGTCCATGGGGGATGTCATTCCAATACCACTGGTGGATGCCTGAAGCCTTGGATAGTATCAAACCCTACATACACTGTACTGTTTTTTCTTGTGCATACATACCTATGATAAAGTTTAATTTATGAATTGGGCACAGTAAGAGATTAAAATAGAACAGTTATAACAAAATACTGCAATAAAATTATGTGGATGTGGTGTCTTTCTCTCTCCTACTCAGATGTCTTATTGTACTATATTCATCCTTCTTTTTCTTGTGATCTGTCGATCTGCCAACCAGGAGGGCTCCTAAGTGACTAGCAGATGGGTAGCATATACAGCATGGATACACTGGACAAAGGGAGAATTCATGTCCCAGGCGAGATGGTACAAGATTTCATTACATTACTCAGAATGACATGCAATTTAAAACTTACGAATTGTTTATTTCTGGAATTTTCCATTTAATATTTTTGGACCACAGGTACCTGAAACTACAGACTGTGAAACCACAGATAAGGGGGGAACTACTGTAATTACTGATGCCGTGAAGGATTGGGTATCAAGGGCTTTAAACCAGATTTTCTCATTTTCAATGACATGGTTCATCAATTACCAGATTTTTATATCAACCTTCCTTTTTTCTATCCTTTCACTAGTTCTATTTAGGAGCCTACGTTTTTATTGTCTTCACTGGCTTCCTCATTACCTTCTTGATCTTCACCTTCTTCAAAGTCCCCGAGACCCGTGGCAGGACTTTTGAGGATATTACGCGGGCCTTTGAAGGGCAGGCTGCAGAAAGAGCTGGGAAAGCCTCCAACATGGAAATGAATAGCATCGAGCCTTTTAAGGAGACCACCACCCATGTCTAAGCCATGCCTCCTTCCACCTCCCTCCCAACATGGAAAAGCAACCTCTCCCTCACGGAGGGAGAGACCTCATCAGGATGAACCCAAGACTGCTTTTGACTGCTGCTACTTGACTCCTTTCTCATCCCGCACACTCCATGAGCACTCCAAATGCTGGGGTTAGTTGGATTCTCAATGGCTTTTTAAATGTTTCGTTTCTTGGACATTCTCTTCTGTTTAGGAGAGACCAAATGAACCTACCTTCATTTCAGGAGGCATTGGCCGCTTGGCATATGACAACTTTGCCAGCTCTTCCTCCCTTAGGTTCTCATTGCCCCACAAGGGCTTGTAGGGGAGAAGGAGTAAGGTGCAATTCCCCCAACCTCAGACTTACCAGGAAGCAGATGCACGTAAGAGTGTGGAAGGCAGAGGGGGATCAAATAAGAGCACCTTCCTCACTTCTGTACAGCTCTGCACAGCAAGTTAACTTGAGTTTTATTTATTTTACCTTCTGGTTTTATTGCATAAATATTTATTTTTTTAAGTGTAAAGTAATCTTACCAAATAATGAAAACATAAGGAAATTGAGGTTAGAGGGAGGTGTTTAAAGAGAGGTTATAGAGATTTGATGCTAGAGAGGTTAAGGTGCAATAAGAAGGGAAGAATTGAGGGAAAAATGTAGCTCGATATTGGGGGTATGTGATGTGGTGCCTGAGGTTTTTATGTTGCTCCTTAACAGTTTCTGTCCTTCAAGTGGAAACTCTTTTAAGTTTAATTTCTCAGAAAAGTCATGTGCCTGCATTAAAAAAGCTACTGATTTCCTTTGGAATTTTTTTCTTTAAGATTATAGTTTATATGTAGTATTACTTGAAATGTAGGATTAACTAAGATGGGCATTGTCGTTACTGGCGGTTGATGAGTTCTAATTTTGGATGGAGTCCAGAAAAGGGAAAAGTTGTTTCTAGAAAGCCTCTTCCCCCACACTGGACCAAACAACTCCTTCCCCTTGTTGTAGGCTCATATTTAAGTAATCCCCACCACCCGTCTGGTGGGAGAGCCCTTCAGATGGGAAACCTAAAATAACTGGTTCTTGGTAGAGGTTCCGTATTTCTCCATTTTGTTCTTCAGAGATTTTAGGTGTTAGTTTTTGTTTTGCTTTAATCTGTAGTTTAAAAGGAATTCAGAGGTGAATGTGGTAGCTAACTTAGAATTTGTAACCTCAGCTCTGGGAGAGGATTTTTCCTGAACGATTATTATCTAGTTTAAGTATGTTTTTGCTTTAGGGTTATGGCGTGCTTGTCTGTCTGTTACCGTGGTACTGTGTCAAGTGCCCTTTGGGAACTTGAATCTTTCCAGTAGAACACAGTTGAAATAGTATGAGTCAATGTGCAGTGTAGCCCACACTTGAGAGTATGAATGTATGTGCACTGTCACTTTGCTCTGGGTGGAAGTAGTTTGTTGGTGACTTGTTTCCTCTGTTCTTATAGCCTGCTTTTGGACAGAATGTTTTAAAACTCACCCCTTCATCCCTAGATATTTAAATAACACTGCTTCTGCTGGATGGAATTTGTATCCAGAACTTCAGAATTCAGACTCATCTGGCTGCCTTTCCAGGCAATGAGGGGAGAACTTCCTAAATATTGAGGTTGAGGGTGGAGGGCTCAGCCTCATGCCAGATTCAGACAGTGGGAATAGGAAAAGTGTGAACTCAGGGCATTGGCCTCTTGGGTGACCTGGAGAGGGACTTTGGGGGAGGGGGAGGCATTCTTTTAAGGGAATAAGAAACAAACAGAAGGCTTCTACCTCTGGAGCTTTTCAAAGGGTTAGAGGAGACGCAGGGATTTCCTCCCACCACAGGTCATGGACACCTCTCCTGTCATCTCCGAGTTCTGCAGTATTTTTACAGATGGAGATGGGACCTGATGACTCTCACCCTCTCTTCCCTTTTCCGTGTGTTGTTTGAGCTCCCTTTCCTCCTTGGTGCTTATTCCAGACCCTTTAGCCAAACCCTTGTGAACAACAGTATTTAGTCTTCAGTTCTCACCATTCCCTCTGGTCATTGAGCCTTGGGATAAAACCTCTTGTAGCTATGGAGCACGGTTTTGTTGGAAAAGGTGACTTTCCTCTAATTGCACCTCTACTTCTGGCTCCTCAGCTGGGTTGGTGGTAAGGCAGGGTGGAAATTTTCCCATTTCTCTGTGACCAGATTGTGAATATTTCTATATGGATTTTCTATTATTAATGTTACTGTGGTTCTCTGTTTAAAAATAAAAATTCTGAATGTACATATGACATCGTGGGCGCATTATTTATTTTCTGTCCTTCTTGTAACAATAAAATCAGCTTTAAATCAGTACCTGTTGTGACCTGGAGCAAGCAACTTTCTTAGAGTCATGTGTAGAAAAGTAGCAGCAATATGTGTTTATTATACAGATTAAATAGAAAAGCATTCACACATTACTTTTCATACTTAATAAATTATGTAGTGGTTCACGCCTGTAATCCTGTCGCTCTGGAGGCCGAGGTGAGGGGATTGCTTGAAGTCAGGAGTTCAAGACCAGCCTGAGCAAGAGCAAGACCCCCGTCTCTACTAAAAATAGAAAAAATTAGCCAGGCACGGTGGTGCGTGCCAGTAGTCCCAGGTACTCAGGAGGCTGAGGCAGGAGGATCGCTTGAGCCCAGGAGTTTGAGGTTGCTGTGAGCTAGGCTGACGCCACAGCACTCTAGCCCATATGACAGAGCAAGACTTTGTCTCAAAAAATAATGTTGCTTTTTTTCCCCCAGTGAGAATTAACCATTTTCTTGTTTTTCTCTAGTGTTCTTTTTTACTTCCTCCAGTCTTTGCTCTCTAAAATTCATCCTACACTACTGTCAGGGGATCTATATGACATAAGGTCTTCCCTCTATATCCATGGGGGATTGGCTCCAGGACACCACCCCACCAGATACCAAAATCTAGGGATGCTTACTTATGTCCATATAAAATGGCATATTTGCAGATAATCTATGCATATCCTCCCATATACTTTAAATCATCTCTAAATTACTTATAAGACCTAATACCATGTAAATGCTATGTGAAAAATTATTATACTGTATTGTTTTTTGTTTGTATTTTTTTTTTTTTTTGAGACAGAGTCTCACTCTGTTGCCCGGGCTAGAGTGCCGTGGCGTCAGCCTAGCTCACAACAACCTCAAACTCCTGGGCTCAAGCAATCCTTCTGCCTCAGCCTCCCGAGTAGCTGGGACTACAGGCATGCGCCACCATGCCTGGCTAATTTTTTTCTGTATATTTTTAGTTGTCCGATTAATTTCTTTCTTTTTTTAGTAGAGACAAGGTCTCGCTCTTGCTCAGGCTGGTTTTGAACTCCTGAGCTCAAACAATCCGCCTGCCTCGGCCTCCCAGAGTGCTAGGATTACAGGCGTGAGCCACCACGCCTGGCCTGTTTGTATTTTTAATTTAGTTTTTTCAAAGATTTTTGATCTGCCGTTGGTAGAATCTGCAGATACGAAGGGTGAACCATGTATCACTATCCTCCTTAAAATCCTTCAATAGCTTCCAGTCAACTACAGAAAAAACTTAAGGCCCCTAGAGGATTACACAACCCCTTCACAGCAAGGTAACTGCTACCTTTTCAGTTTGATTTACCATTTATTTCTTAGCTCCTATTTAGATAAAATACCTCACCCTCTAACGAATTCTTTCACACTTCAGTGCCTTCATCTGTAAGTTTCGACACTCCATTCACATACTGAAAATGTTTGAGTGGCTACCTTTATTGCAACTTAGCCCAGGCGTGAGTGCCACAAAGCCTTCTTATTCCCAAAACGTTCCTTACACTGTAGTACTGTGTATGTTGGAGTAAAAGGATGATACCCCTGACTGTCCCCAAAGAGCCTAGTGAGTACATCCTTTTCTCCATGATCCATTGTCTTATCTCCCTTTCTCCACCTTCGCTTCCTTATAATTCATTCTCTACATAACCAGAGTGATCTTTTAGAATCATCATGGTACTTCCCTATGTAAAGCCTTCCAATTACATCTTACCACTTAAAGTGTTAATAATGTCCAGACTCCTTTACCAAAGCCGATAAATCTGGTGACCATGTGTGCCAGTTTAAACTGCTTTCATTCATTCTCAAAACTTCCCTGACTATAAGTTACAGTTACCCCACCTAAAAGGCTTGCCGCCTCTTCAACTTCATCTCTTGGTAACCCTCCTTCCTCACTGAAGTCAAACCCCACCGGTCTTTCTAGTTCTCATGAAGTTCCTTATCACTTACACTTGTCCCCTCGTGCTTCGAATATTCTACCTCAAAGTTTTGCATGGTAGATCTTAATTAACAATCTCTCTAGAATATAAGCACCATAAAAAGCAAGTACCTTGTCTGTCTTGTTCATGCCTAGAAAACTGGCTGACATATAGTTGATATTTATTAAGTGTATCAGTCTGGATCCTATCAGGAGACAGAAACCACACATTGGTTTAAACAGGGAAGGTGTAATATAAAGAGTATCCAGTTATAATAAAAGCAACTAGGGCTGAGGGTGCTTACCCAAGGAAGAACAAGCTCCAAAGGGAGGCCACCTCCATTTCCCCAGTCCTGAGGTTCACACCTTACTGGAGAAGGTATAGTTGCAGCCCACTGGATAGCAGAGAAATTTGGCAGTTTGCCCAGGCCAATGCTGGTGTGCAATTCTTGGGCAAGCAGGAACAACTCAGGTAAGCCACAGCAGGTAACCAGACACGAGGTGTGCACAGTGAGTTGGGGCACTAGTGTGGGTAGGAGGCCTGGAGTGCGGTGTCCCAGTCAAAGTGATCCCCAGGCCAGGGTGTGGCTGGGGCAGGTTACCACCACATGTCCTCTCACCTACACTGCTGACTTACGGTGTAGCCACTGGAACCCGCAAGATAGTCCCCCTTCCTCCTGCAACATCTTTCCAGCACCATCTACTGAGAAAGCATCAGGTTTACTTAACACTCTAAATGGGAAATGCTTAAAGGAATTTCATCCGTTAAAAAGCAGGTATTGAAGGGTGAATTTGGAGCTGACAGACCATAAATTGCTAACTGGCCCAGTGAGTGTTAAATGGCCAGATGGATAACAGTGGTCTTTGAAAGGATTTCCTCCTTTCGCACCTGCCAAAACCCCTTTGCTTTAGACAAAATTCAAGTTGCAGCTTGTCACTTTTTTTTGAACTAAAAGTGTTTGTTGCAGACACCTGGCCAAGCTTCCGAGCAGCTGCAGTTGAGATTGGGCTGGGCAGGTGCGACAAGGAAAAGATAAAGGGAGAGGCTCTGGGCCTGGAGCGACGGAGCTGCACCAGGATGCACCGACTGCAGGTGAGGCTTGTGCGGTCCGGCTCCGGCTCCACATCGTGGACCTTCATCACGCCGTCTTCGTACCACCATGAGCTATGCGGACGGAAAGAACGGCACCAACCAATCATTAAGTAACAAATGCGTCTTTTTGATCAGCGGGCCAGCGCTGCGGTGGCATGGCTGAACTGTGGGTCCTGCCACACGTCCACCTTCCTCCTCCGGGCCTGGCCCCGCTCCCTGGGGTACCAGGCTGCGGACCCACTGCGGCCGCCCCCACCCGCAGCAGAGAGCCGGCCAGCCTCTCCCACTCCGCCGGCGCCGAGAGCCCCGCAGCCCTGCGAAAGGCCTGCTGGGCAGCGCTGTGGGCCCCCCGCGAGTCCCCGCCACCGTGCAGGCGCGGGCGGCTGCGGAAACCTGTCGTTCTTACTCCGTTTCGCTCACGAACATTAAACCCATTCTTTGCTCTGACCCAGGATATGCCTGGAAGCCAGCAAACCTTCGAATG